AGAATAAGAAGAAGAAGAAGAGGAACTAAATGTAGGCTCAAAGTCGTGAATTTTTTCTGAAAAATTTATAACAGCTGTACCTTCTGAGAAGTCCCGCCTGGGGCGAAAGTTTTGTTCACAACCCAGCATTCTTGTGAAACTTCTGAGAAGTATTCGACTACTATTCAGATTATTAACATGACATCGTTTTGGCACAGCTGTTTGATTTGTCACATGGTCCTCCGCTGTATGTGAAGCGCAGCGACGGGTAGCAAACAAGGTAGGTCCGGCAGACGAGAACCTAGCCAATGGGTCAAGGTGACCACGGTTGCACCCAAGTAGCTCATCTCATAGTTCCAAGTTTTCCTCGCCAACTTTGAAGACTCACAACTTTCTTATAAAGTTCACGTTGAAGTGTTCATGTGTCATCAGTATTCAAGACTATACGTAGCTACGTCTAGCCTCAGTTTACGGGAAGTTCAACTCATTCGCAGTTTCAGGGGCGACGAGCGCATTCAGTCGTCAGATGATTGCAGTTTATGGACGAAAAGTTTTCAGGATCGACGTACAGAGATTTGTGCGCCAACATACTTTTAGCCGCCATCTAACAAACAAACAACAAATTAAAAATATAGCCTCTATTTGCAGAATCCTTCTCTCCTACAGTGGTGTGCAAAACTTGACGGTAAACTAAATACAGTAAATAATATAACATAGCTTACTAACAAATAGACTGAAATGGATGAAATGTGGATGTGTACTGCTATATCTACTCCAGACATGCACAGGATCTGGACAACACACCAGAACCCGTTTGCGATTATGCCCACAGAAGAGGAACCAATTACCTGGGCAAGGAATTGCGTTCCTTCCAGATGAGTGCAAGTTCACTGGATGTAATGATTATGGACAGGAATTCTAGAGAAAGCACAGAATGCAAACGGGAAGATCATTGTACATGATGGATTCTGTGGTCTCGCTGTTACGGTGTAGGAAATCACTATTTAAAAGGACGTTCTAAACTTCGAACTTCGAGATGAGCTGTGCTTCCCGGTCAGTACCATTGTGATGCCGTACACCTTCTCTATGCGCGTTACCTCTGAAGTGCATCCGACTCCAACTTTGTTTTTGTACAGTACAATGAGCGCCACAACCGCACAGAACCGTCTGAGTGTTGAATTCTTTTTAGTGAAAGAATGTTCTGCAACTGAAGCCTGTCTGCTTTATGACCAGAATCTCCTCGAGCACATGTGATGCCCTGTGAAGAACAAGCGGCACGTCCAGGTAAACAAATGACTTCTCACCAGCTTTTTATGGTGTGTGAGACCTTGTAAAAGTATAACGCACATTACTGTGGCCCGTGGTGCTGTTCACGTACCCTGATGGTGAGTAACATGTCCAGCTTTCTGAAGCGTCATCATTACCTGTATCACCTGTGGTCCCGTTGATCGTCATCGGGCCTCAGCAACGTCTCCATTTCCCCCTTCCTCGTGCAAGAGTGTTCCATCCTCCTATCTCTCGGATGACTCGCAGTACTTCCATTCCTTTGTTCGATGAGCTCGTTAAGAAGTCTCCATCGAGCCGGCAAACATCCAGGTGTTCGTTTGACGTGCCGAGGGATCCAGTCGTTAATCATTCCGCTCCATCGTCACAAAATCGCATGACGTGTCCTGCTTACCTGATCTTCGATTCCCTGGCAAAACGGCAGCGTCCCTGATCTTCGATCGTTGGACGTAGTTCCGCACTCCGGATTCCCCTCTGCACTTGCGTGTATAGGGTGAATCCATGCATCTTTCCTCTTGACAGCATACTGACCGCATGCTCGTCCTGCCTGCGCAGAGTCCAAGTCTCTGAGGCGTAGGTTAGGGCAGGAAGGACAGCGGAATCGAAGAGGTGGGCACGGAGCCGGATGTTCTTCGTCTTCTTCACTACTCCCTCGATGTTCTTATACGCTCCCCAAGCCGCTCGTTTCCTCCTGCTCAGCTCTGGAGCTAGATCGTTCATCATATTGATTTCCCGACCTAGTGAGTCGGAGTGATTCGGTGATGTTCGTTCCGTTGAGTGTGAATGGGTCATCAGAAGCACTCCGTTTCCCCGAAAAAATTTGCCATGCAGTCAAACTGCGCCTGATTTGAACCCTGTTCATGTGGCTGTTGGACAGTTCATTCTACACATATGGGATCCGGAGGAGACCTGGGCCTTTTTCTTCACGTTTCTGTTGCGATAACCGCCGCGTTTTTGGGAAGGCAATCAAAATCTCCCGAGGAGTGGTCAAAAATTCGGCCCTCAGTGAAAGTGATTTTCTTGGAAGACGCCGTTTGGCGTGTGTTAGAAACCACTGCTCGATAGAAAGTGAGTAGGGCACAGTTGAAGACACGAAATCATCCCAAAAATCAAGCCAACTCTTCCATAATGTGTGCATGCTGCGCCAGCTGCATTAAGTTCGGCTTTCTACCCGATACTTTTTACACTCTGTCTGCATTTTGCTGTTTTTTTATCTGGAATATCTAGATTTTGCAGTTAGAAGAAACTTTTATTGAAGAAGTGAACACATGTAGTCAAAGGTACCAAGCAACCAATGTGACCTTATCCTGGCCAGGTCGAAAACAAATTTTTAGAAAATTGGCTTGATTTTTGCGATGATTTCGCGTCTCCTGAAGTGATCTAGTCATTTTCTGTCGAGTAGTGATCTGAGAGTTTCTCTTACACACGTCAAACGGTACACTTCTAGACATTAAATTACATTGGAAATTGGATTTTCGAGCACCCTTTGGAAGATTCGATTGCTTTCTTTGTAACTGTTATCGCAACCGAAACGCGAGGAAAAAGGTCCAGGTTTCCTCCGGATTCCATATGCGCAGGATACCACATGCACGGGCTTCAAATCATCGGTTTGACTGCACGGCAAATCTCCCCACTTTTGCGCAGAATTGCCTTTTTTGAGTCCGACAGCGGTGTTACTTCCGTCATCACCTAAAAAGAGGAAGTGGAAACAACCTGACAGTTACGCCAAATAACAATGAAGTTCAACCGAGAAACATGGGGTGGATTTATATTTTTGCACAATCGGCAAAGTGGCCCTTTTCTGAAAAATGAAAATAAAAAATTTTCGTGTTTTCGAAATGGAAGTTGGTGTTTACACTCGAAATCCTATTTATATTTAGCACATTTTCCCTCCAAAGGCGTTCTCAGAAACACACTATCATGTGAATTTTCATGTGGCTTACATTTATGCGAAGCAGTGTGTGTTGGTCAGTGTTGTCAAGTCTGCTGGTGTCGTTGATGTGTGTGTTTGTTTGACCAGAAGTGGCCCGCCAACCAGCTTTCGCAAGAGGTTGATTTATGATATAGGGGGTGGCACGGTGAACATATTTGGTGGGGACCAAAAAGTGATAACAGCTGATAGGGCTGATAAAAAGCGTTGAACGCAAGTGTCGCGAAATTCACAGCGCAGGCCCAGCAGTCGTGAGGCGTTGCTTTTTAGATATGATATAGGGGGTGGACGCGAACACATTTGTTAGGGACAGAAAGTGATAGCAGATAAAAAGAAACGTTGGAAAGCAGACGTCACTGAAGTTCTTATTCAGATGCGCGATAGAAAACATCTCATTTCTTCATGTCGTCGTGATCCATTCGACCGCTAATCTGCCCGAGCTTCCAAATGCTCGGTGCTTGTGCAAATACGATAAGTATTAGTATTCCTATCTCAAGCATAAGCCTTTTCGACACGGTGAGCACCCGAAGTCGGCGTGAATTGTGACGTTCCTGCCGCATTCACGTACAATGCGCGACATCATCCACGCGCCTTCTGAAGGGCCAATACTACATGTCACGCGGGCAATAAGGCTCTAGCTCTCCAGGGTGACAGTGCAAAAATGGTGAGCCGCTTGTGCGGCGAACATGAACGCTGCACGCGCGAGCATCGGGAGGAAGACTCCTCGTGCTGTGCCATCCCTCGAGACCAGTCCAACAAGAGTGCCATACTCCACCTTCTAGATTAACTTGGTATAGTTGGCGAGTTTGCTCGACGCATTCTCTCCTCGTTGAGAGAGCGCAGAGAAAACGAGAAGTGGGAGGCGAGCACACATGAAAATCGATAACACGTGACATTGCGCGCCCAGTGCCAACGCTACAGCGCGTCAATGCGTCGCGCATTGTTCGTGACTGCAGCGGTAACGTAATAATTAACGCTGACCAAATGCTCACCGTGTCTGAACGGCTTGAGTCCCTATGTCAGCACCGGACATAAGAAGTTATCCAGCCTCTAGCTATCTTATCTTCTAAAGCATGGTAGACGTTTACGCAGAGGGCTGATAATCAGAACAGTAGTTGTATCGGTTATCTAAAGCTCATTCACCTGCTAGACTGTGTTAGTTCAGAAAAAAGATGGGCGTTTATGGCTAATGACAAATATGAGGACTGCTTACTACTGCTTTATCTTCAGCCTTTTTTTGATACCTTTATTCAAATTCGTTGAAAGCAGAGTGCTGCTCGATAGCCCAGCTGTTCTCTCTTTTACTGAAGCCTACGTATGCACTGCAAGAAGACCGCGGGCCCCAAAGGAAATGAATAGAGGCGTGCATCTCCACTGAGGGCGAGAACGCAGTTGCGTGGCTGACTCCAACCTGGCCAGCGCCGCCTGAGCATGCAACCTTTCGAGTCGCAAAAACGAGCATTCGTGAGGCACTAGGGGGAGGCTTGTCGCACGCCTACTAGCACAATTGAGCGCTTTTTTTATCCCAACTTTATCCTGGGGTTTACCGTTGAATGTGTTGAATTCCCTGTATACATATGCCTCCCAAGGACAACTGCAACCTCGAAACTCTCTCCTTTCCTGGAAAGTTGGCTTGTTTTAGTCTGCTCGAGATATTGCACCACATGCACCCCACCCTCTGTACATAAACCATTATTTGCCTTTAGTGGAGAAGGGACCGATCACGATCAAAACATCACCTTATACTGACACCCTAATAGTTACTTGTTCTCTAGTGCTCCTATCTCTTGTTTCCCCACTTCTCTTCTTACTCTTCTCGCAGCTTCACTAAGACTCCTGAAGAATCGAGGAATGGTTGAGATGCTTACTGGATGTGCACTTCGGGGTTATCTCTACATCACACATCTCATTAGAGTGATATCGTAAGTGCACACATTTCTTTCCGAGTCCTGCTAGCGGTTGCTTTTCTGGTAGTTCCTATTTTCAATCACACGAGTATATTACGGACGAAGGAGAAGACATATATGCTAAGTGGACGGCAATTGGAGCCAAATGGTGGTTTAGATTATAGAGTGGTCCGTTTTCTACACTTCAGTTAGTTCAGTTCTTTAGTTAATGCGTTGAAGTCAGACCTAGAGTGCTTATACGGACGGTGCTTCCCAGGAGAAGCGGAAGCCCGTAAGGTGCTAGAACTTTCAGAAACAAATGCGGCTCCAAATTTGCTGAGGGAATGGTTAGCAACATTTATGTAAGTGTTTGTACTTGTTTGTTGTGAAAACACATGTTTTCCCTCACGAACCTTTGTAATAGAGTCTTTCTTGCTGAGGTGATATTCAACCATAGAGCTGACCGATTCGAAAGCATACTTTTCGATCATGATTTTACCGGACGGCAGAACGGTGATAACAAAGTGTTTAATCTGTAAGTCAACAATGAAGCCATCACGTTGTTTGCGGAATCTTCCGCCAATTTGCATGATGTTGCAACTGGTGTGTAATAAAAAAAGTTCAAAGGTATAACCACGAGGACGGTGCGCTTCTGAAGATGTCACGGAACGTCATTAGCAGAAGAACTTTAAGAGGTTTTCTCAGCCATGACCCAGCCTGATAAAGTACCTGACTCAGCCTTGCTTTCAAGGACGTCATCTAAACCTTACAATCCCCATATTGTGATCACTCCTCTGACATTTCTCATTTTTTGAACACTGGTCTTTATTGATAGACGGATAAACTCGCGCACTCCCTGGTCTTCAAGCTCCTGCCTGACCATAACAGACAAAACAAGGGCCCGTGGTTTGCCTGCTACGGGCTCGGTAGTCCGTACTAGGAAGTCACCATTGCTACGAAGCATCATCTGAAAACAGGTTTGCTGTAATTTGCTCGTAACAGCATCTGATCGCTGGCATTGTGAGATTACACGAGTATTTGATTCTTCTTACCTTAATGTCTTCACGTGGGAGCAGTCCATGATACCATGGTTCGTTGGCAAGCTGCTTGTCCATCTCAGCTTGCTTAATTGCGCGAGATATGAACTAAGAATGAACCGTACTCACCAGCCCTCATGTTTTCCTGATTGCAGCAACATACACCTCACTCGGTTATATCACAAGAAGCTATGACTTTTCTGCGATCGTTCTTTCAGACCTTGTAGTCGAGACAATCCGGATTTCGTAATTCATGCCTACGTTCACGTTCTGTACGTGCTTTCCTTTCACTGTTTCCACGTCAACACTTACAAAAAAATCCTTCACGAATCGGAAAACAGAAAGAATCTTCAAGGGATGAATTCACGATTGGAACGAAATTCGAAGAAGGAGTAATCCACCTAGTTGAGGGACCCGCGGACCTCCTAAGGGTGCGGACTGAAGCGCAATTGGCACCGAAGGAGTTGACCTTATTAAGGCTCAATCTTGGCGCGGTGGGCCAGCACGCCCACCGATCATCTGATCACTCGCCGCAGGTCTATACGTGGCGAGTGATTAGATAGTGAGAGAGCGTAGTGTTGAAGAGGGCACAGCGATGAGAGTCGCATCAATGCTCAAATCAACGGGCAAGGAAGGGGTCCATTTCTCGGGTTCTGGGCCGTTTCTCATGGTTCTTCCTTCTTTCGTGTACCACTCACCATCCCTAGGTTAATTTGAAATGGGTTGCTTTTCATCGTGAATTCGTCCTTTAATTACATTTGTGATTGCCATAAGCCTTTGCTCGACTGATGAATACAGCTTAAAGCAACTCAGATCGAATTGGTAAAAGCGGTCGATAATGGAATTGTGGATGCCAAGCTGATCGAAAATACTGCCGATGAAGCCTCTCAACAAGGATCATTATCTTTTCCCTTGATAGGGAAGGGGTGAGCCGGACGAGTTGTGCGAAGTTACTTGTCAAGAACCCCACTGAAGACCTGTGACTGCTTCCATTGTTAGGAAGAAACATATAGCTTCCAAAAACCAGAGTTTCTAAGACAAGTAACGGCGCACGTTTGGTCAATATGCATCCAAAATTTCAGCGCAGGTGGGAGCATCAAATTGAACGATTTAGAGAAGCGAGCTCAAATAATCCCTGTAGTTCCGAAAGTGATCGCACAATCGCGGCCAGACGCGCTGACTCGTCGATAAGCAAGTGAGCGGAGACAAGAATCGGAAGAACAAAAAGCATTTTTCACGTTCGTTCTAGCGGTTTTCCAAGGTGAATTGTTTCCTTCAGTGTTACCTTTTATGTTCTATGCCTAACGCATCATTTCAACACCATTAGTATCGAAAGTATGGAGTATACTGGGACTGTTGCTCTAGGGCGAGGGACACGATAAAGTGTGTTTGTGCACTATAGAACTGCATGCTGAAGTGTACGCAGTAGTCAGGGCCGAAAAAAGCAGTATTGCGGCCTGAGGTGTGCCAGTTGCAGTGCGATGGGCTTATCAATCCTTTCTGAGCATTGACCCCGCCTGTAATCCGTCCATGAGTGTGTTGCCAGCAGCATCATCGTTCGGTGATCATTCTGTAAAGGTGCTCTATTTCGAGCAGCTTCTGGCACATGTTATTAATCGAAGCATGGTGTCTGTTGGCATGGTGGTGCTATTGGGTTAACAAGTGCATGACGACGCTTACGGCCTTAGGGAGACATTTGAAAGGGCAGTCAAAAGCCGCAGAATGCATCGCACATTGCTTATCTTTCTCTTAAAGGCAAACTCCGGGATTAAACTGGTGCTAAGAGCGTTTGTAGTGATAGCTTAGCTGCGGAACGACCTGAAAGTGGAAAGGAAAGCAAGAGAAATCTTTGGGAACGCTGAAAAGGCCTTAACCTTCAATAAGGTCGGATGTGGTACGATGGCGAGACAGGGCGGATCAAAGAAGACAAAATACGCGAGAGAGCACGTCGTTTGAGAGAGCACGCTGATCTCTACATCAATGCACGCTGATCTCACCATCTCTCGCGGTGGGTGGGAAGCGTTGGAACGGGGTCGATGGTTGAAGCCCGTAAGGATTAGCGCCCTAACCGCGCAATTTCATCGAAGAAGGCAGAGTGATGCGGAGAGGTTGCACCTCCCTCGCGGTATCCTTCCCACAAGTCGGGCTAGTGCCGGGAATTGCCTTCAAATTCTCTTCAAGAAGGGAAGCTGCGAAAGTTTCTGAGGGAATTTGAAAACTTCAACTCATTTTTTTAAAGAGTTGAAATTTCTTAAATTCCCTCAGCCTTTTGTGTGAATGATCGTTTTACTAAAAGGCGTTTCTTAGGCTTGTTTTTCTGCAAGTTTTTAGGCTTTGAGTTAGTCGTAACTTTCTTCATATTCAACTTTTTCCAGGCCATAAGAAGTGTATTCGACGAGATTGGAATAATACAGAACACTTTCCACCTTAAATTATTTTTTACGCAGAGGCACAACTTATTACTCCTATAAACAGCATGTTCCGTGCTCGACGCTGATATGCTCAAACTTTTGATACAAATCAGTAGACTTTCCTCTATTGTACACAATGATCACCAATGAGATTTACCTACAGCTGTGTGATTTTTTGAGATGTCATCCAGCACTGCTAGATTGTGAAGTCATCCATACAGAGGCGGACCTGCTAAAATTGTTTCCAGTGCTCACGCTAGATCAGTTTTTCTTCTTGTGGTTCCTTTTGAAATAGCTAAATAGAACCTCAAGCGAGAAGTATTCTCAGCAATTCTCAAAATCACCCCATGAGTTCGTGAAGCAGGCCAATTAGGCAAGAGATGATTGGCTGGCTGTTCAAACGGAGGGAGTCGTTAATGGAAAAGAGACTGAACCACCGTTGAATGGAAACTCCTGAACCATGCAAGTTATCTACCCGACTATCGAATGGACTGAATATCTACGGACAGGTTCAGCGTATTCCGTCACCATTTTGCAACATGTCAAAGCCCTCATCAACCGGCAGAATGCCTCAGAGCGAGTGCGCTTTCATGTGCGCTCGTGACTCCAATGGTCCACGCAACCTACAAGGAAGGGGCGGTTGATCGAAGTAATAGTTTGATGAGGATCGGAAAATGGTAAAGGGGATGCCTTGCTTCCTTCAAGACACTTCAAAAAAATAGATTGCAGTAAATCATTTCCAACAACTTTTTCAATGTATTTATTTACCCCTTCGTGAGAGCGCCGAAGACGTGGTGTGCTAAATTGGTGTGTCGGTTTGAGTGTATGTCTGTCTGTCCGTCTGCAAAATGAAGTGAGTGATAAAGCAGCTAATGGAATAAACAAGCCGCTAACAAATCTGGGTAGCTCGCAGGAACTTGTGCCATCAACGTTTGCAATGACATAGTTGTGACAGCACCTAAAGCTGAGCGATCGTGGGGAAGCGTTAGCTCAGTTTAGTGAAAGATGTCGGTTATCGGTGGCGAATTCATATTTCCAGAAACGTCAAGAGCGCCGGTGGACTTCCACGCCGAATGGTGTTTCATGAAATCGATTTCTTCTTAACGAATTGTTTACGACTGTTCCGAAACGTTTCATTTTGGAAGCCCATTTCAACATCGGCTCAGATCATCGTTGGTTCGAGCAACGATAGTAGTGAAACTGAGAGAAGAGCGGAGACGATTAGCTGCATACCACTCGAGAAGAACCAGATACGTACTATCAGATGAGATGCTTGAAGCGCTTGCTGCAACCACAGATTTTTCTGTAGGACATGGAAGCATACACACCAAGTATGAAAAACTGATCTCCGCCATCCAATCCCTTATTAAAAATGCGTATGCCTTCGAACGTGTTGAAGCAGACCATGAGAGCGATTGTGTTCCATTACTCTACAGATGTTGGCTACTCGGAAAGAACTGGGAAGAACCATGACTCCTGTGGCTAGATTCAAAATTGATTATTGAGAGCATACGGCACGAAAAACACGAGAAGCAGCTGAAACGTCGATAAGCCTCAAAAGAACATACAGGGGAGGCCAAAAAAAGACATTTTGCCAGGTCGCACTTCGGCCTTTTTTTCTTCGCAGAGATTGCCGTCGTTGACGGAAGTTCCTCAGCAAAATATTCCCTAAATGTCCCTCTATAAGTACACGCAGGCCCTCCTTCACTACCCTCACCGTCTTCAGAATATGACGTCATCTGTCACCGTCGTCGAGCTCAGGAGGCCTACAGTAACTGCTTCAGCCTGAAGCTCTTACATAATTTCTTGGATCGATTCAACGTGGGATAGTTTCCTAGGGACATTAGCTCTAACTATGCAAACCCCCTCGGAACCCGCCCTTCGGAACCCGTCGTAACGGTACACGATCAGTCGAGAACCCCATTGAGCTCGACCAGAGCACCATGTTTCCAGGGCAAATTTTCCTGGGCTCAAGGTCTTCGCGCGTATCATCCTAACCGTATTCGTCAAAATCTCAACACAAATACATGTAGAGAGCAGGCCGGTTTCCGTGAAGGATTTTTCACTATTGACCAAATCAATGTTGTTCCTCAACTTACAGAAAGATGTCCTGTTTTGTTCTCGAATTTCAGTAGGGCGGGGGCGTTTGGTCGGGTAGTCATAAACCGATCCTTCCAGGCTCTGAAGAAGGCGACCCTAAGTAAGAAAACCTAAGTCAATAAAGTCAGCCGAAACTAGTGAAAATGCACTCGGACGCCTCTTATTAGTTCTAGTTAGACGTAACCACTCTCTATCACACACACCCCCATCGGAAATAAGGGTTTAAACAGAGTGAGCACCCGAAGTGAGCGTAACTTACGATGTCCCTGCCGTAGTCACGTACAATGCGCGTCGCATCGACGCGCTTTCTGGAATAACAATCCTACGGGTTTCGCCAACAATGAGGCTACCCCTGCTCTCCAGGGTAGCAATCCAAAAATGGAGAGCGTCGCAGCGTTCGCCTCGCTGCGGCGGAACTAGGCTGAACACTGCGCGCGCTTCGCGCGCAGTCCGGGAAAGGTCATCCCCAGGTGTCACCCCATCCCACGCAAGGCCAATCTGACATGTTCGCCATCCTCCACCTCCTACATGAACGGCGCTCAGTATAGCTGGTATAGCTGGCGAGTT